TTATGTATGTATGGATGGATGGATGGATGTAGGTAGGCAGGTAGGCAGGTATGTATGCATGTATGCATTTAAGCATAGAAGAATTTGGTTTGCTAACCTTAAATTTGTCTATTTTTATAGTTAGGTGTGTATATATTCGTGTGTACGTTACGGTTGTGGTTGTCTCTGTACATCTTTTGGTAAGGCTTTGAAACTTCCAGACATAAATATGAGCAAGTATGGCATGAATATAATCAAGTAATCCCGAATATACGTCCGGTTGAGTTGAGGAGCTTAAATGATGTATTGATATTTGACTTTTGGGACATTTCTGCTGACGCAGTGCTCGAACCTTCAGCTTTCGGTGGCAGTAGAAACGTTTGTCTCTTGACACAATCAAAGGGAATTGAAGTTGTACTTTTCAACTTTGATGATGTCCGTCACCGGACTTAATGAAGAAATTTTTAACATTAGTCAAGCTTCGTCTTCTGAAGTGATCGGCCAACGAACCTAGTTAGCACATATATTCCCACGAAATAAAGGTTAGGTGATTTATCAAAACCTGAATTTTATTCATGGGATACACCTCCACACGGAGAGAATGAGCATCCTTGTAGATCTCGGACATTAAATCATGATTAAGAGGCATGCCCTATTTCGGCAGCTGATCGCTGACTCACTTGACTTCTACAGCTTTAGCCGATATTTTATTTGATAGCATGAATGAGAGTCATAGAAACGATGAAATATTACTGTCTAGTCTTTAATTGCCTCAACCTGGCTAAACAAAAAGTGGAATTTCGATTATTTTCTATATAGAAACCACCAAAATAGTGTAAAATAACTTCTTTATAACTTCCATTGCCTCCAGTTCTCGTTTTGCTTTGCGGCATTTTGAAAAAAAAACAAATCAGTAAACATTATTTCTGATATAGTTCATTTTTACCATTCCTCCTTACTTCTCCTTTTAAGTCTCACGAGATGACTACATCAAACCTGATCAGTACTCCTGTTGTAACCTTTTCCACAAGATTCGGCTAGGCTATGCACGTTTTACTAAGCTATTTTTCTCTGAAATTTATTCAACTTTTTCATTAAAATGCTTGTCTGAACCACACGCAATTTAATACAGGACTCGCCATCAATATGTGCTCTCGGAGTCGACACAAAAAAATATTTGCTAATTGGATAGTAAAAAAATGTAGTTTTTACAGAGTCCCCTTATAAGTTGGTGTTGGAGCACCTTTCATTCCGTTTGAAGAGTGGAGTGGAAGGAAGGAAGTCTCCCTCTGAATTATTACCAATAATAAGGGTAGCCTGATGCATACAACATTATAATATATCGGTCAACAAATAAAGCGAGTATCAGAGGCATAGTAGTTTGAAATAAGCAATTATTATGAATTTGTTCACTTAGTCAATGAATAGAGGATACAGAGTTAGGATTTGATTATTAGTTGTGATGTTGAGTATATGTACACTAACATCCGTGTAAGCGGAGCTACACAGGCTCTACAATTTACATTTGATCAACGTCCGGAGGTTTTGAGAATCACAAATTTAAGTAGGAGGTCAAAAATGATGAGGAAGAATTTAATTATGAGCTGCATCTACTAGACTGTTAATGGTAACTCGTGCAAACAAACACAAAACTTTGATAGGGGATCGCGTTTGTCCTCAATTTTAGCAAATAACTGCATGGCTCAATTAGCAAGTCGCCCAATACGAGAAGTAATTTCACTTTCTAAATTATGGGTTAGATGCATGTATGACTAATTTCTCGTATGGCAGCATGGCAACGAAAGTCTAAGAGAATTCCTAGCGTGGATGGACGGAATCGACGGGAGTATCAAATCCTTAATAGAACTGGAAAGGGATAATAGTCTACCTTGTCTAGACGTCCCAGTTAGCAAAGAGGAAAAAACAAACTGGTTGCAAATATGTACAAGAAACCCACAAATGCGAGGTTCCTTCTAAAGCGTCTTTCAAAAGCATACTTACGGAATTAAAATTGGAGTTGTGCAATCCATGTTAATAAGGAGCTTGTATCTTAGATATGCTAATCGTCGATACCGGTAACTGAGGGGATGAAGGAAAATTTTAGATAAGAACGATTACCCTTTAGGCTCTGTTATATTCGCAGTCTTCTTTCGATTTATAGAAGTGGGTTGACCTCGTTGTCGCAACTTGGTCTTGTTGTCAGGGCGACTTAGTAGACGCACCTAGTCTCCTCGTTGTCGCAACTTGGTCTTGTTGCCAGGGCGACTATGTAGAACGCACCTAGTCCGAAGTCGTCTGCATTAGCCATTTTCATGATTCTTGTGGACTTGGTACATTCTAAAAAGTTTCGCCGGCACCGTAGTCGGCGTCATCAGTGAGCGGAGAATGGCAAAACTCACTGATGATGCCGACTGCGATGCCGGCGAAACGTTTGAGAATGTACCAAGTCCACTGTCTGATTCTGAGAATCATGACAACTGCTAATGCAGACGACTTCATACTAGGTGCGTTCTACTAAGTCGCCCTGACAACAAGACCAAGTTGCGATAACGAGGTCAACCCACTTTTATTAATCTCGTTGGGTTAAATCAAGACTCGAGTAAAGCATAAGCAGGCTGCACGAAGTAATTATAACCAAAACCAGGCTTAGACAATTACTTTCTAAGGTAATGACTAAAGTGGGTTTCCTTAAGTTACAGGATATGAAGATATGAAGACCAAGATGTTGTTGCCTCTATTATGGTCGGAGTCTCCTTTCGATTTATAGAAGTGGGTTGACCTCGTTGTCGAAACTTGGTATTGTTGTCAGGGCGACTTAGTAGAAGGCACCTAGTCCGAAGTCGTCTGGCATAGTAATTGTCATGATTCCCAGCATCAGACAGTGGACTTGGTACAT